AGGAGGAGAGAGAGACAGAGATGAAGGGGAAGAGAGAGAGACAGAGACAGAGAGGGAGAAAGGGGGAGAGAGAGACAGAGAGAGACAGAGACAGAGATGAAGGGGGAGAGAGAGAGGCAGAGAGACAGAGAGGGAGGGGGATAGAGAGAGACAGAGACAGAGAGGGAGAAAGGGGGAGAGAGAGACAGAGAGAGAGAGACAGAGACAAAGACAGAGACAGAAAGAGAAGGTGTGGCATCCTCCCCAACACACACGGTGTCTCCTGCGCATTCCTCTCGCACCCTTGTGTACAAGTAGTTCTCGACAGGAGCACAGTTTGAGCCCCAAATTTCTGTTGTTCAGCGAGACATCTGTTAAGTGAATTTTGCCCCATTTTGTGGCCCTTCTTGCCACAGTTGTTAACTGAATCACTGCAGTCGTTAAGTTAGTAACATAGCTGTTAAATGAATCTGACTTTGCTCATCAAGAGGTCGCCGAAGGGGAATCACATGACCCTTGTACATTGCAACCACCATAAATATGAGTCGGTTGCCAAGCATCAAGCCTTCCCTCCTTCTGAGGTGGATGAAACCCAGATTGTTGGGGCCAATAGGTTCTATAAACCGCTTAGAGAGGGCTGTAAAGCACCGTGAAGCAGTATACAAGTCTAAATGCTGAAGGCTATTGCTATCTGAATTTTGATCTCGTGGCCGTGGGGATACTACAGTGGGTTTGAACTCACGGTCTTCTGCCTTTCTAGCGTCTGGCGTCTTAACCACTAGACAAAAGGGTTAGCCACCACTTTGGCTGACCTGTTTTACGACTGTAATGTCTTACGACCATAACAGTTGTATTGTAATTGCAAGCTGAGGACTATCTGTCCGTGTTGTTTCACTGTGGGTGGAAATTCAACGAGGTTATTTCATAGGAAATTCTCAGCCCGTCCCTCAATCCCAAATTCTTGGCTTTAGAAGGAGAAGCTTTGATCATTGAACTAGTGTGAAACGGATGTAAGGTCTGTAGTGTAGATCAGCAGCCCCCAACCTTTGGGGCACCAGGGACCAGTTCTGTGGAGAGATGCTTTTCCCTGGACCGGAGGGGGCCTGGTCAGGGGGTGGCCTTCAAAAAATTTAGCAAGGGGTTCTCTGCCCAGTTGCTGGATGGGCGTGGCCATGGTGGGCATATGGCCTAGTCGGCCTCCTACACCATGGCGGTGTGTGTGTGGTTTTGCACTCTCCAGACTCCAGAGGGTTTCCTTGAGCCTCTGGGAGAGCAAAAATGGCCTCCCTGGGCTCCGGAGGCTCTCTGGAAGCCAGAAACAGGCCCATTTTCGGCCTTGCCCAACTTCCAGGAGGCCTGTTTTTTGCCCTCCCTGAGCCTCTGTGCACTTACCTGCACTTACCTGCATCCAAAACAGGCCATGGAGGGACTCCTGGGAGGGACAGGGTGGGGTGGGCGGGGCCAGCCAGGACTGGGATTTGGGTGTTCTCTGAAGTGCACAGAATCTTAGCCCGAGGACCTCTCAAACCCTACGAACCCCCAGCAGCCCACCCTTGCGCCTGGTTTTGTGTATGGCCTGCATCCTGCAAATGTGTCTTTGCTTGTTTGTGTGGCCCAGTTGCTGGCCTGCCACGGACCGGTGCTGGTCCACAGACTGGGGACTGGGGAGCCCTGATGTAGATGGGTTTAAAAATGGAGGCGACAGGGAAGAGAATGAGATGGATATTTGACCGTCTTCTTTTTCCCTCAACCAGATTCCCAGCCCTCCGTCTCCCATTTCTCTGGGCCCCTCATTTATTGCGTGGGTGTTGGGGCACTCGTGCTAGCTCTGGTGATCTTTATCGGGGTGTGGAGAATCCGTCGACCTCAACATCGGGAGCATGGCTCGCTTTGGCTCCCGCCAGGATTTGCACCCCGCCAAGGCAAGAAGCGTCGCTGTCGGAGAGATCCTGTGGGTGAAGATGCGATCAGACTGAAGTGAGTATTATTGAGAAGTGGATCAGGGTTTTTTGCTTTGAATGGAGCATAGGTAAGTCCTTAGGTTACAACAGCAATTGGGCCCAGAGTAGCCATTGCTAAGTTACACAGTCGTAAAGCATGACATCTCATGACTGCATCGATTAGGAAAAGAAACTCTGGCAGTCCCAGTTGCTGCCGTTAAGGTTGTTAAGCAAGGATATTATGTGACTGTGACTTCCAATTTCCTGTCAGCTTCCCCATTGACTTTGCTTGTTGGAAGCCAGCAGAGAATGTTGGAAATCGTAGTAATACGACCACAACTCATTGCAATGGTTGTAATTGCGAGCAGGATTCCAAGTGTCTTAATCAACAATCATATGACCAGGGGGATGCTACAATAGCTGGAATTCTGAGGACCCTTTGTTTGGCACCATCACAACTTTTAACAGTTGTGAATGAGTGGTCATAATACGAGATCCATGCAGATAATTAAAGTTTCCCTCCAAGTTTGGGTGAGTTTAGAGTTATGTAAAGGTAGTAGTGTCCATAAAGGTATGTGGGAATGATCTTAGAATAACAGACGAAGTAGCAATAGGAATAGCACTTAGACTTATATACCGCTTCACAGTGCTTTTAAGCAGTTTACAGAGTCAGCATATTGCTACCACAATCTGGGTCCTCATTTTACCGATCTTGGAAGGATGGTGGGCTGAGTCAACCTTGAGCCTGGTGAGATTCAAACTGCCAAATTGCAAGTAGCCAGCAGTCAGCAGAAGTAGCCTGCAGTACTGCATTCTAGCCACTGCGCCACCACAGCAGTGGTGCTTCCTAGGGCAGAGACCTCCAAACTTGGCAACTTTAAAACTTGTGGATCAACTCCCAGAATTCCTCAGCCAGAGGAATTCTGGGAGTTTTTGACGACAAGTCTTAAACGTTGCCAAGGTTGGACACCCCTGGCACAGAGAACAATCAAAGAAGACAGACAACAATCAAATCCTGACAATAGCATAGTCTGCAGCTGCATAGTGGGTGGAACAAGAGGTTCAGAAGAGATCCTCCTGAGCTTCTCAGGCTATAAATGAAACAGTAGGAGAATCATAACTTTCAGGCTTGCAAGATTCTATGAAGGAAGCTTTTACAATAAAGTATAAATTAGCTCATCTGATAGGTTTCCTGTTTGGCCTTACCTAGAAATGTAGCTATATTGTGAGGACAGCAGAGAAGATGATAGGAAGCGCTTTTCCTGTCATTCAGGAAACTGCTTATATAAGCGCTATGTGCTTAGAGCTCAAAGCATTGTTGTTAGAGACCCCGCACACCCACTTTACGGTCTGTTTCTGTTGGTCCCATCTGGGAGGAGGTTTCAAAGTATTTCTAGCAGGACTTCCAGATTCTGTAACAGCTTTGTTCCCTATGCCATCCGCCTGGTAAACTTGCAAGATTTGTTTATCTCGCCATGTACATCTATACATTCAAACTAGACCGTGTTGTTACTCCATGTCCTATAATATATGTGGATATATGCATAATTTTGTATTTATATTTATTTATTTATTTATTTAGTCATGTTTATGTAGTGTATATTAGAGGTGGAGACCCTTTGAGAGTTGAATACAATTTTTTTTTATGCAGATTAGTGTATATAATGACAAAGTTATTCTAAATTCTAAGTCTGTCTAATCCCGCGTGGATTTTTTAAAAAATTGCCACAGATCTGCAAATTTCTTTTTGATCTTCCATTCAAGTAATAACTTTTTTTTTTTTTTTTGCAAATCAAATATAAATACATTTACTTCCAATGTTTCTACTTAGCTGAGCAGCCTCCTAAATGGAGGGGGAAAAATGGTTTTTTTTTTTCATTTAAAATTAGCCAAATTTGCAGTCTGACTCGCAAATCACAGCCATCCACATGGTTGGACTATTAAGTCCTATAGTAAGCTTGGTCAATATCATCAGGAAAGCATATTTCTGGGGAAGGCAGAACCCAAACCGTTTATATAATAGTGGCAAAACTAAAAATACAATTAATGACTTAATGTTTCTGGTATTTAAAGAAGAAAGTAATTTTTTTTCCTGGGAGGAAGGAAATAGACACCTCATTTCAAATATTTTTTTTAAAAAAACTCATGGGCTTGATGAAGTCTCTCATGCAAGCTTTGTTTACAAGTTTGTATATCTACTTTTTTTGATTCAGATCTGAGCAGCTTCCGCTTAAAAAGTCTCCAGTAACTGTCACAGAAAGGATTTCTAGCATTTGAAGCTGATGCCAGTCAAAGAGAATACTGATTCGGATGAACAAACTGGTTTGGCCCAGATTAAGGTGGCTTCAAATCTTCTAATCCAGGGATCTTCAAACTCGACTTGTGGACTTCAACTCCCAGAATTCCTCCTCCAGTCACGTTAGCTCAGGAATTCTGGGAGCTGAAGTCCACAAGTCTTAAATTAGCCAAGTTTAATATCCTTCTTCTAATCCAATGTCTCTCAACCTTGGCTACTTTAAGACATGTGGACTTCAACTCCCAGAATTCCCCAGCCAGCATGCTGAGTTGAAGAATGGTCCCATTCCATGGATGAAAGCTGACTGAAATATTAGAATTTTTCTTCCAACATTCCACATTGCATCTGCAGATCGCAACCAAATTTAGAGGTCTGTGGAAATCACAGGATGTGGAGAACATTTTTTTGCTTTTGGGGGGATCTATCCATCAGCTTCTGTTGCTCAATTGTCTCCAAGGAAAGCCCGAAACTCTTCCTCCATAACTGCTAAAGAGAAAGTAAGAAAAAGAATATATTCTAAGTCTAACTAAAATGGCTACCGATAGGTCAATTTCGGGCTTGACAGGCTGCCCTTCCTCATTTGAAAAGAAACCCCTGCAATGACATAAAATACACAAAGATTGAAATTAGGTTAAACACAGTCACACAATACACATCTTAACCTCCTCTGCCACCCACAGAATTTGGTTTCGGCTTGTGTGGATATTTTTCATGGAATTTCCCCACCAATTGATCAGCATGTACTTTCCAGCTATTTACCTAAGTCGCTTGTGAAATTGGATAGCCTTTCCAATAAATTAAATATTGTAATGCTCTGTTCTCTGAGAACCATGCTGGCCTTCATAAAACAACCATCTTTCTTCTCACTTTCTCCTGCTCTCCTTACGACATAGGCCAACAAAACTCAGTACTGAGTTTGCAGAAGATCATGATATCTTCTCCAGCCCCCATTTTGATGGGCCTTTGAACTCCAAAGATATACAGGTATTTATGCTGGATGAGGAGGTTGTGGGAAACGTCCATTCCACAGATATTTTTTGGGATTCTCTTTACAATCATCCCTTCTGTGCAGGAGGATCTCGATTCCGTCCCTATCTCAGATCAAGACCGCGTGAGACCGAAGACACAGATGTTGGGGAACGTCACAGTCCCAAGACTGGGGAAGGATACCAGGCCAAAAGCAGCCAGAAATCAAGAGCCAGGTACAAGAAGAAAGCCAATTAATAACGGAGAATATTTGTAGCTCGAGGTTGACACGAGAGGGCCTTGGTGCTCTCTGAGCTTGCTTGTTTTCTTGCAGACGTTTCATTGACCAAACTAGGGAACATCATCAGGGCTAGTAAGGAGTGGGGTTTGCTCTCAGTTTATATTCTAGTGTCTTGTCCTGTCAGTGTTGGTGGGAGTGCTGTTGGAGGCTCTTTGGGTTGGGCTGTTTGCTGTTAGCTTGTTTGCCAGTTCAGCAATCCAAGAAGTAAACAATACCGCAATCAAGGAGTTGAAGTTCCACAAATCTCAAGATTGTCAAGGTTGAGACATTGTCAAGGAGAGAAACAACCTGGAAGTAAGGAGAAACTTCCTAAGAGTGAGGTGAATTAACCAGTGAAATAGTTTGCTTCCAGAAGTTTTGGATGCTTAATCATCACTGGAGGTTTTTTTTTTAAAAAAGGACTGGACAACCACACGAGTCTGAAATGGTATGGGGCCCCCTCGCTTGAGCAGGAGGTTGGACTAGAAACCCCCAATGTCCCTTCCAGCTCTATTCTGATTGGTTGATTGGTTGATTGACACTGCTCTAACCCCTTTGTGATCCAACCTATTGGGTAAACCCAGGGAATTCAGGAACCAAAGGATGAATTGGGCAACCTGAGCGAATATGCCGCAGGCCAAATGTTGTGGCAGCTTTTGCTGATGACGATATAACAAGTCAGCATTTCAGCTATGATTTTATATATCTGACAAAGCCAGCTACATTTGTCATTGTCCTGCTTCCCCCTCCAAAAACCCAAATCGTTATTTATGTTTGAATTATTTTCTTTGTATTTACAATGCAGTATACCAAAGGGGAAAAGATCTATAAAACAGGATCACTTTGTTCAATTAGATGAGATCAGATCATATTGTACTTGCTGAGGGGGTGTTGGGTTTGTTTCTTTGTGAGTGTTTAGGAGGGGTGGATCTCAAACTCCATTTTGTTGTTTTTTTTGTGGCTGCTGGCAAAGCTCAGGAAATTGGCAACCGCTGCATTGCATAGTTTCCAAGAACAAATTACGAAGCGTGTGTACTTCAAATAGCCAGACTAACAAATTATTTTGTTCACACCTAAGACTAAGTAATAATACGATTAGATTTTGACTTAGACCCACATGGGAAACAAACCATTGTGGTTTGTAATTTAGGAATAACACGGAAACACCTTGTTAAGGATACAGGTAGTCCTTGATTTACAGCCACAGAATATCTATTGCTGAACAAGGTGTTTGTTAAATCAATCACGGTCAATTTTGTGACATTTTTTGCCTGTTCTTGTTAAAGAAATCACTGAGGTTGTTAAGTGACTCAAGCAGCCATTAAACGAATCTGGTTTCTCCTCATTGATTTTGTTTGTTGGGGAGCCTGTTTTGCCCTATTTCTGCAGTGACTATATGTTGTTGGGGAAAAAAACATAAATTAATAACAAACCATGAACAAACTTGAAAAATGGAAATCCGCAAATCTGAAACAGGTTCATGAGGATCAAATTTTTTAAAAAATAAATGTATATTTATGTATAAAGCAAAATTATAAACACAAAAATTAAATGTATGTATTTAATTTTTGTGTTTATAATTTTGCTTTGAAAAGAAAAAATTAAGACCAAAACCAAGAAGTTACTGCAGAATAAATTGACAATTTTTCACACCTATGACTGTCGCCGCATCCCATGCTCACGTGATCCAAATTCAAACGCCTGGCAACTGGCTCATATTTATGACACAGTCGCAGCGTCCTGAGGTCACGGGAATATTTTTTGCAAACTGCTGACAAGCAAAGTCAATGGGGAAGCCAGATTCACTTAAACAACTGGGTTACTAACTTAACGACGGCGCTGATTCACTGAACAGCCGTGGCAAGAAATGTAAAATGGGGCAAAACTCAACTTAACTAACATTTTATTTTGGAATGAAAACTTTGGGCTCAAATATGGTTCATACGTCGAGAGACAATTCTTGGGAAAGGGAATGTATGAGAAAGAAAAGAATAACATAAGAGGTAGCAGAGGAAAAAGCAGATATCTATTGTTCCCTATAACAATAGAATCAAATTCCTGATTTGGTCTACTTCAAGGGATTGAGATCACATCAGATTAGATCAACAGAATAGAATAACAGAGTTGTAAGGGACCTTGGAGGTCTTCAGGTCCAACCCTCTGCTTAGGCAGGAAACCCTACACCATTACTGTTCTGACCCAACCGGGTTCCAAGAGAGCAAACACAGACAAAGGCAGCTGCCCCCACTTGTTAAGGTTTAATCACGAATTCTGTTCCTTCACAGATAAAAGGCTGCTTCCAACTAATTAGCTCCGACAAGAAAGAGCCTTGCCAAGTTGTTTGTCAAGGCTGCCAAAAGCCCAGAGATAAGAACTAATTTACAAGATTTTCCAAACATGAACTATGATGCCCACGAGGCTGAGCTTCAGAGCTTCTTTGCCTTCTGCAAAGAACGTTTTTTCAAACCTGGCTTTTATCCTCTTGAGGGAGGGGCCATTACCTTGCAGCCTTACTCCCGAGTCGCCTGTGCTGCTGTAACTGCTCTCTCCTACGATCAATCCTGTGTGCACATGCACTTGTCACAGGCTCCTCAGGAACCTCCTCATCGCTGCTGCCAGCCCCCACAATCTCTGAAGGCAGAAGTCCACTCCCTAATGGTCCTGGCCCCTCATCTGAGTCCTCGCTCTCCTCCACCGTCCATACCTGCTGCTGGCTAACCACAACAATTTCAGACAAATGGTTGTCCAATTTCTTCTTAAAAACTTCCAGTGTTGGAGCATCCACAACCTCTGGAGGCAAATTGTTCCAATGATTAATCGTTCTCACTGTCTGGAAATTTCTCCTTAGTTCCAAGGCTGCTTCTCTCCTCGATTAGTTTCCACCAGTTGCTTCTTATCCTGCCCTGAGGTGCTTTGTAGAATAGCTTGACTCCCTCTTCTTTGTGGCAGCCCCTCAGATATTGGAACACTGCTATTGTGTCTCCCCGTGTCTTTCCTTTCATCAGACTAGACATACCCAGTTCCAGCAACTGTTTTTTATATATTTTAGCCTCCAGTCCCCTAATCATCTTTGTTGCTCTTCTCTGCACTCTTTCTGGAGTCTCAACATCTTTTTTGCATCGTGGCGACCACGACTTGATGCAGCATTCCAAGTGTGGTCTTATCAAAGCGTTATAAAGCTTTGCTAACACTTTATGCGATCTTGATTCTATCCCTCTGTTAATGCAGCCTGGAACTGTGTGGGCTTTTTTGGCAGCTGCAGCACACAACTTTTTAAGCGATTGTCCACTAGGACTCCAAGATCCCCCTCACAGTTCTCACTACTGAGGGATCAGAATCAGAATGCTGTCCATCCCAAATCATTCAAAGATTGCCAACCGAGCGGAAATAGGCCAATCCTATCTTCATGTATGCTTCATGTATGCTTTTTATGCTTCCAGTTTGTGGTCTGACTCCACCAATGTCCTTGGCTTGTTCTTCCGGGTTGAAGGTGGAGAGTTCTTGGACAGACAAGCAAATGGAGAACTTCGGAGAAACCCCTCTCCACTTAGCAGCTCGATACTCTCGCGCAGATGCTGCCCGCAGACTCCTGACAGCTGAAGCCGATGTTAATGCCCGGGACCAATGGGGACGAACTCCCTTGCACAGTGCCATAGCAGCTGATGCTCTGGGGGTATTCCAGGTCAGAAAAAGAAAAATTAGGATGAATGTAATATGCAATAGAAAGAAACTTGGTCAGGCTTTCCAGAGTCTGTTGTTATATATACAGGCAGTCCTTGTATAGCCCTAGTTATATATACAGGTAGTCGTTAAATCAGTGATTTAACGACTGATTGAAGTTAGAGTAGAACCCCCAAAGTGGGGGGAACAAGGTCATAAGTACCCCCTAAAGGTAGCTCTGAAGGCTGGACTATTCCTCTCTTGAGCACATGACCACATCTCAGTTGCCTGGCAACTGTCTTGCTTTTACTCGACTGTGATTTACAATGTTTTTGTCAAAAACTGGCATTTACTTCCAGTTTTATGGCCAAAACACCTCACAGTGACCTACGGGTTCTGTCAAGACTGACTCGTACTTTCACCTACATTTTTGATCCACTCACAGTGTGACAGTAACGTGTGTGTGTGTGTGTCAGTGTGTGTAATGCAGGGCGGTCAAACTCGATTTCATTGAGGGCCACACTAGGGTTGTGTTTGATCTCCGGGGGGGCCAGATGTGCGTGACCGGGGTGGGCATAGTCACTTGTATCAGGGGGCACCTGTGGTGGCCTGGGTGGGGCTGGGGGATCCTCCTACAGCTCTCTGAGAGAGAAAATGGAGTCAGGGAGGGCAATGCATAAAGAAAATGGAGGCAGGGAGGGCAGTGCGCAGAGAAAATGGAGGCAGGGAGGGCAGTGCGCAGAGAAAATGGAGCCAGGGAGGACAGTGCGCAGAGAAAATGGAGGTTACAAAGTTGGGCATAATTCATTTAACAACCGTCTGACTTAACAGTGGAAATTCTGCCCTCCACCCCGCCAATTGAGGTCGTAAGTGAAGGACTACCTGTCAATTGATTTGCCACGTAGAATAAATGCCAAAGCAAATAATTTGCTGCAAAATTTCACTGAGAGATTAGTTTGCCGTGCGGCAAGGCCGTTTAGCATTAAAGTTCATCTCCCAAACTTTGTATGTTTGCTCTTTGCTCCTGCATCTCCCTGATGGCGAAATGGCCTCCATCAGATCCTTCTCCGTCAGAGACAGACAGACCTGGATGCTTTGGCAGATGATGGCACCACCCCTCTCATTCTCGCCACACGGCTCGGGGTCGAAAATATGGTGGAAGAACTGGTGGCCAACCATGCGGACATCCATGCCATAGATAAGAGAGGTGAGGTTCACAGGGGGCCTCCAAGATGCTGGCTGAGTTATAAGCCGAGGCAGCGTTAGTGACAAGTCCTCCAGGGAACTGTGGTGGAAAAGACCAAAGGATTGCAATTCTGACTGGAAAAGAGAAATAAACTTGGAAGAAGTACCAGAGAATGATCCGATTGAGGATCTGATCCAGGGGTCCCAAACCCTTGGGCTTCATGCCGGGGGTGGGATTCAAACATTTTAACAACCAGTTCTGTGGGCGTGGCTAAGTCGTTGGGTGGGCGTGGCTTCTATTTATTTTATTTTATTTTGCAGCACCCCTCCCCTTTATTTTTTTGCCTCCTGGGCCTCAGGTAAGCCTCCGGGGGGGGGGCGTTTTGGCTCCCAGAAGGCTTCCCTGGGGCCCAGGAAGGCAAAAGATGGAGCGTAGGGAGGGGGGGGCGCAGCTTCCCCCACTCACACACCCCTTTTTGCCTCCTGGTCGTCAGGGAAGCTTCCTGGGCGAAGCAGTAAGACAGCTAGGTGGGTCCCGGAACAGCTGATCATCAGAACAGCTGATCATCGGAACAGCTGATCATCAGAACAGCTGATCATCGGAATAGCTGATTGTTGGGAGAGGGGAAAAAGAAATACTTTAAGGATTGATTGGGCAGGGGAGAATGCAGTCAGCGATGTTGTGCATGCGCAATAAAAACTGACTGGGCAGGGAGAGGCGGGCAGAGAGGGGCGGGGCCAGCCAGGGGCACAATTAGCTGGGACTCAGGAGGCACAGAATAGATGGGGGTGGGGCCAGTCAGAGGTGGTATTGGCCGGTTCTCCAAACTACTCAAAATTTCCACTCCTGGTTCTCCAGAACTGGTCAGAATCTACTGAATGCCACCCTCTGCTTTGAAGGTCAACCTCTCTTGGGACACCAGGTTGAGAAAGGTCAGTCAAGGGGCCACGATTTCCCATACTGATACCCTACTTATTATACATTAGAATCCAGGACGGGATTCTAATTTTCCTCAGAATTCCCTAAAGTAATGGAAGGAAAAAATTCAGAGATGGTTTTTGCCCACCGTTATGGAATCAAGTCCAATGTCTATGGAGATTCTCAGCCATCCAGGTCATGGTTGTCCAAAAGGTGCTTTTTTCCAAGAGGCAACTGGACTTTCTGAAGAGTTGAAGAAGCTTCTTGGATGAGAAGCGAAATGTCTTCAAAAAAACCCCCCAGAAAGTCTACTTGCCTCTTGAAAAAAAAGCCCCTTTGGGTGAATCAAGTCCAGTTTCCCACCCACCCTAGATTCAAACTCTTTGCTTCATCCCTGGATTTCTCCTGTCTCCCAGGGAAGAGTGCTCTCCACTGGGCTGCAGCAGTCAACAACGTCCGGGCCTCCCTCATTCTGCTCAGGAACGGAGCTGACAAGGACCTTTTAGACAATCAGGTAATGGGCATTGGCTCACTATCTCACCTGTCTCACTTAGTAGCACGAATTTTGAGCTCCACTGTGGCGGTAAGTCGAGGACTACCTGCATTGACAACGTTTAGCGAAAACGCCATGCAATAAAATTGCTTGAGCTTGAGAGTCAGCAAGTGCATCGTAATTCAAATAATTCATTTATTCCTAACCTGGACTATTGAAGTTGCGTTTGGTCATCAAGGGTGTGAGACGAACAATGGTCCCAAATCATGCAGGCCTCTCTTACTCAGAAAAAGAATAGAATAGAATAGAAAATAATAGAATAGAGTAGAGTAGAGTAGAATAGAATAGAATAGAATAGAATAGAATAGAATAGAATAGAATAGAATAGAATAGAATAGAATAGAATAG